TGTTTTGTGTATTTGTGCTTTCTCCATTCTTAATTAGGTTTCCAGTAGTTTTTAAGTCTGGGGTTTTTTTCCAAAGCTTATTTATGTATTTATCACTTTTGTTTCCTAATTATTCCATTTATTAACTTTCTAGTATTAGATATCGTTGTTTAAAAAGTCTGATGCTGGGCCGGCCCATGGCTCACTCGGGAGAGTGTGGTGCTGATAACACCAAGGCCGAGGGTTCGGATCCCATATAGGGATGGCCAGTTGGCTCACTGGGTGAGCGTGGTGCTGACAACACCAAGTCAAGGGTTAAGATCCCCTCACCGGTCATCTTTTAAAAAATAAAAAATAAATAAAAAGTCTGATGCTGATATGGATTGAATTATGTCCCCGAAGTTTCATCTTTTAGAAGCTTGATCCCCATTGTGACTCTTAAGAGGATGGTAAATCCTACTGTGGTAATTGAAAGGTGGGGCCTTAAAGAGGTGGTTAGATTCTGAGGACCATGCCCTAATGAATGGATTAGTAATGGTGGTCATGGGCATGGTCCTGAGGGCTTTAAAAGAGCCTGTGAGAGCCTCTTGCTCTCTGCTCTGCCATTTTTGCAACATGATACCCTGCATAGCTGAAATCACCACCAAAATAAGCCTTCACCAGATGTGTTCCCTGGACTTTGGACTTCCCAGCCTCTGAAACTGTTATCAATGAATTTTGTTTTCTTACAAATTACCCAATTCCAGGGATTTTGTTGTGAGCCACAGAAAATAATACAGATGCCACTTAATTTTCCTTTCTCGTGTAAGCCATTTTGTTTAGAGGCCCAGAGGATTTCTTTTCTTTATATTTAATGTCTGGCAGTTTTACTTGAATTTCTCTTAAGAGTTGACACTTCTGAGTCAATATTCCCACGCACACAGCACATCCTTACAGTGTTTGTATTCAGAGTGTTTTCTTTTGAGGAAAGAAAAGTTTTAATAAATTACCATTTTTAATCTTATTCCATTGTTTTTCCTTCTTTAATTCAAAATTTAAGACAGTTGATAAAGACCTAAATGTATGACCTGAAACTATATAACTTCTAGAAGAAAACATAGGGAAAAGTCTTCATGACATTGGATCTGGCAATATCTTGGCTATGACACCAAAAGCACAGGCAACAAAAGCAAAAATAGACAATAACAAAAAGACAAAACTTAAGAGGTTTTTAAGTTTGATGGAACTACATCTAACTTAAAAAGTTCTGCACAGCAAAGAAAATAACAATGAAAAGGCAAACTATGGAATGGGAGAAAATATTTGCAAACCATATATCTGATAAGGGGTTAATATCCAGAATATATAAAGAACTCATACAACTCAACAACAAAAAAAGCACAAATAACCTGATTAAAAAATGGGCAGAGGACTTGAATAGTCATTTCTCCAAAGAAGATACATAAATGGCCAACAAGCACATGAAAAGATGTTGAACATCAGATCATTAATCATAAGGGAAATGCAAATCAAAACCACCATAAAATATCACCTCATATCCATTAGGATTGCTATCAAAAACAAAACAGAAAATAACATGTGCTGGCAAAGATGTGGAGAAAAGGAGAACCTGGTACTCTGTTGGTGGAAATGTAAATTTGTACAGTCATTATGGAAAACAATATGGAAGTTCCTCAAAAAATCAAAAACAGAACTATCATATGATCCAGTAATCCCACTTCTGGGTAAAAGAATTGAAGTCAGGATCTCAAAGAGATGTCTGCACTCCCAAGTTCATTGCAGCATTATTCGTAATAGCCAAGATCCACATCTCATATGTTATGCCTTCACAACAACATAAATGTCCACCAATGGATGAATGGATAAGAAAATGTGATATACACATACAATGAAATATTATCCAGCCTTTAAAAAAGAAATCCTGTCATATGTGACAAGACGGATGAATCTGGAGGACATTATGCTAAGAAAAATAAACTGGTCACAAAAGGACAAATACCATATGATTTCACTTATACGAGGTATCTAGTCAAACTCAGAGGCAGAGGGTAGAATGTTGGCTGCCAGGAGCTGGGGGAAGGGTGAAAAAGGGAATGGATATAAATATGTATATTTAAATATCCATGGATATAAAAGGTTCATTTTTTTCTTTTCCTTAGTTTAAAAGTTTCAGTTATGTGAGATGAATTAAGTTCTACAGATCTGATGTACAACGAACCTATAATTAACAATACCATATCTCACGCTTAAAAATCTAAGGTAGATCTCATGTTAAATGTTCCTACCACAAAAAAACAAAAACCACAAAGGGGCATAAGGAAACTTTTGGGGGTGATGGATATGTTTATTACCTTGATCGTGGTGATAGTTTCACAGGTATATGCACATGTCCAAACTCATCAAACTGTGTATGTTAAATATGTACAGTTTTTTGTATATCAATCAATTACACCTCAATAAAAGTGGTTAAAAATTAAAATAAAAAAAGGAAATGTGGTATATACATACAATGGAAAGTTTGGTTTTTTTGACCGGTAAGGGGATCACACCCCTCAGCACGGGGTGGTCTGCACCACGCTCAGCCAGTGAGCACACCGGCCATCCCCATATAGGATCCGAACCCGTGGCCTCAGCGCTACCGCGCTCTCCCAAGTAAGCCACGGGGCCGGCCCAAGTCATTGTTTTTAAAAGGAAGGAAATTTTGGGCTGGCCCGGTGGCGCACTGCTACAGTGCGCTGCTTGGGAGCGTGGAGGCGCTCCCGCTGAGGGTTCGGATCCCACATACAGACCGGTTCCCACTCACTGGCTGAGCGAGGTGCGGGCGCAACACCGAGGGTTGCGATCCCGTTGCTGGTCCCGGTCCGGTACGGGCGCGACACTGAGGGTTGCGATCCATTGCCGGACACGAAAAAAGACCAAAAAAAAAAAGGAAGGAAATTTTGACATATGCTATAACATGAATGAACCTTGAGGACATTATGCTAAATGAAATAAGCCAGTCACAGAAGGACAAATGCTGCATGATTCTACTTGCATGGGGTAATCTAGAGTAATCAAACTCTTAGAAAGTAGACTGGTGGTTGTCAGGGGCTGAGGGGAAGAGGGAAAAGGGGAGTAGTTGTTCAATGGGTAGTTTCAGTTTTGCAAGATGAAAAACTTTTGGAGAGCAGTTGATCAACAATGTGCATGTAGTTAACACTACTGTTCCAGAAACTTAAAACTGGTTAAGATGGTAAGTTTTATGTCATGTGGTTTTTACAATAAAATTCAATATAGCTGAATTTTCTTCTATATTCAATTTTATTTCCTTTGCCTCTTTTCTCTATTACTTTTTCTTTTATTTTTAATTTCTTTTCAATTAAATTCCTTCTCCTTTGTGCATCTTGACTTCAGGGTTTTTCTCTTTTCCCTTTATTTAATTGACAAATAAAAGTTACATATATTTATCACGTATAACATGTTTTGAAATATGTATACATTGTGACATGGCTAAGTCAAACTAATTAACACACACATTACTTCACATACTCATATTGGTAAGAACACTTAAAATCTACTCTCTCGGCAATTTTCAAGAATACAATACACTGTTATTAACTGACCACCAACGTTGTACTTGAATTCAGGTTGCTGAGGTCACTGTTCCTTTTCTTCATTCCTTCCTGAGTCTCAGTCCAAACTGCACATCTGTTGTCTGGTCATTTTTCATGTTTTGCGGTGTCCTCACATCTGCATTTGCTCGTCTATTTGTAATTCATGTTGGAATGTTACATTACAGTTTTCTTCTGCTTTGCAGTAGCCTTTGGGGCGGGGCAGGTATGTTCTATTTGCCAAAAAGTTTTAATTTGTATTTACTGGTTTTGGTCTTTTTTCCCCACAAAACCCATAAGGATGCTGCAGTTTTATTAATGTTTATATCTGAGCATGTTAGATTTATCCAAACAACTGTTAGCAGGAGGTATTATGGGTAAGGAGGAGCAGGCAGCGGGCTTGGGTGACTTTCCACATTTCTCCAGGGCTCCCCTTGTGTGGCTACAGTGAAAGCCAGATTCTTTAATACCTGGCATTTCTGTGGTCAGGCCTTCTCTGATCCTCTCTTGCTTTACTAAGTCTTTGACCAGCCCCGTCCTAGCTTCCCTTTTATACCACCTCTGCCACCCACGATACCTCTGTCACCCCAGAAGTGGGGGTCTTTCCAAGACCACCAGCTGTGGTCCTGAGCACTTCCCAACCCCTTCCCTTCTGCTTCTTCATTGCTGGTGCCACCTCACCTGGGGTAAATCTATGCTGATGTTATCCAGGTTCTGCTATTGTCTCCCCCATCTTATCGACAAGTTACTGCCTCCTCTATGGCTTAACAACTTCCCAGCTGGACTCCCACCTATATTCACTTTCAGACTCAACCTGGCCATCTATATTCATTTTCTAGGTCTGCTGAAACAAATCACCACAAACATGGTGCTTAAAACAACAGAAACTTACTCTCTCATCGTTCTGGAGGTCAGGGTCTGAAATCAAGGCCTCACCAGGGCCTCTCTCTCGGTGGGCCCTCAGCACCCTCCAGGTGTCGCCCTGGGCTCTGGATGCTCCAGGCTGAATGAAACACACCCTCTGCTCCTGGGGAACATATCAAAGTGTAGAAGAGGCCATCTGGGGCTTGGATAAAGCCCAAAGTACTGTGGTGAGTGCTCTGCTGGTGGTTTGTGTGAGGGGGTTGGGGAACCACAGGTAGCAAGCTTTGCCTAGTGTGCTGGGAAGGATCAGAATTCCCTCAGGAGAACAGCACATGCAAAGGTGGTCACGAAGTCATGGCATGCTTAATGCAATGTCTGTAACAGCTTGGAGATGCAACGCAAGAGCTAGTTCAAGGCTCAGTCCCTGGGCCTGTCCCTCACCACAGCCCTTGAGGTTCCTCCTGTGTCCCAGGTTACAACCCACAACCTGAGCAGGCCCAGCTTACTGCCTGCATGGCTCTGATGTGCCCCAGCTCACCTGCTCAACCCAAGGCCCCTCCTCATCAGGACTTTGACTTCACCACTGCCATTCTGGCTGTTTAAACTGTGGACTGTGGGAGAAAGACTCCAGGCCTGACAGCAGTTAGCACAGTCCCTCTTCCTGGAAACATGCTATGAAAACATCTCATATGGAGACTGGTCCTGCCTTTTTTCCTCACATCTGTCCTTTCTGAATAGTCCATGCTTCTCACCATCTCATCAGTCTTGGGCCCAGAGAGCCAATGGCTCAGTGGGCGATGTCTTAGGAGATTCTGAGTTAGCTTGGGTCTTCTACCTTCTCTACCAGCACTGCCCTCTGGGTCTGCAACTTCTAAGCCCTTGAGAACCGCAGATCCAGGCCAATACCCTTGATAAATTCTATGAGCAAGCAGGTTCTGAAGTGGCCTCATCAGGGAGGCAGGCTAGAGGCTCCAGAGGATTTAAATGCACAGATTCTGTGACAATATTAGCAGCACAGGGGGCGCCTTCTGGGCTCAATTCTTGGGTGTGTTTGAGAGTTAAAATTCCCACCAAGCCATCTCTGTAAAAGAGAAAGGTTTGTTGTCCATTTGAGATGATGCTGTGAAGGTGCAGGGAGAGAGAGGTTACAGCAAAACTGAAAAGGCTGCAGGACTAACCTTCTCCAGTCTCCTTCTTCAGAAAAGCCTGAAAAAGTTAAGGAGCCAACAAACTCACAGGGACAGACAAAAAATTTGTAGGAAGGCCTCATATGGTGGGAAAGTTCCAACAAAGAAAGTATGACCAAGAGTTGGGCCACTAGTGCATTTCTGCCCATTCAGAAAAGGGCACCACACAGGTCCTTAACTAGCCGAGTCACTGTGCAAGTTGGTGACCCTCTTAGGGCCTTTCTTATTTGTAAGGGGATATAACAGAAAGAGGGAAATATTCCTAGCTCCTGAGATTTCGTGGATGACTGCTTTTATAACATAAAAGTTACTTTTTTATACACATGAAAGACCTCCCTCTGCTGGGCATTCACACAATTTCTGAATAAATTTAGAAGAATAAAATGTTGACATTGACAAGATAAATTTTAAAGGATTTTTTTAAACAAAAAAGACTTTAAACTGCAGTAAGAAATACGTCTTACAGGGCCAGCCCATGGCTCACTTGGGAGAGTGTGGTGCTGATAACAAGGCCACAGGTTCGGATCCCTATATAGGTTTAAAAAAAAAAAAAAAAAGAAATATGTCTTACATATCTTGTACACGTCTGCCACCCTGTCTCTGCGGGCTGCTGTAGGAAGCTGATGCCACAGTTCATCAACAAAGACGCCAGGAGCCACACTATGTTCCTTCACTGCAGAAGCCCCCGTATAGACATAACACTGAAGGCTAACTCCCAGTGTTGTTTAATAACTCTGTTCCCCCCAGGAGAAATCCATTTTGTAGCCAAATGTGACCAGTGGACTCAGGCTGGATACACCTAGCACATCGCTGTCCTGTCACACTGCTGATGTGGCCCTCGGACACTGCAGGGGAGTCTCTCGGGCATGCCCCTCTGCTAGGCCTGCTCACCGGCACTGCTTCCACTGGCCCCTGAGCCTTTGCCAGAAACCTGGGCTTCTGAGGCACGTGAGGCCTGCTTTGGCAGGCGGATGGGAACGTAGATGTTGGAAGCACAGTGCTCCTTGAGGTACTCTCCTCCCTTTTCTTCATATTCCTTCCTAGTGATCCAGGCTTTGTTGTCATCTAGGTGGTCCAAGGCCCAGTCACGAGCACCGTACCAGGCATCCAGCACAGGGTTTGAGGCAAGTTGGACCTGAAACACGAAGAGAGTGTTCACTATCAGGATATCTCCCACCAAAACTCCAGGCTCAGCTGCAGCCCCCTTACATTATATCCTCAGAAATATATACTGAGGGCCCCAATTAATTCCCAGACAGTGCAGGGCTATCCCTACACCCTCCAAACAAAGCTGAGCCAAAATGCCCACTCTCCTAGAGAACACACAAGAACACGAAGCAGACCTGACCTCACAGCACAGTTATAAGTTGTTTTACGAACACAAGACCTGCCACGCAGGGTCAGAGAGGAAGCAGGTGCCCAGCCTCTGCTTCACAATCCTGTCAAGGGCAGAGGGAGGCAGAGACTGCCATTCAACCTGCAGGAAAGGGCTTCCTGGCCCTGGTCCCCCCTCTGCGAGCACAGGGAGGCAGAGGCTGAAGCAAGATCGCCCTGACCATGGTGGCAGAAGAGCCTCAGGAGGAATGAGTGCAGAGAGGGGTGACTGGGGCATTCTTTGTGATGCTGCCAGTGCTTAGTTTCCATTGCCTACTGTCGGAGCCAGGCTGGGGGGTCAGCAGCTCTGGGAAGACCCCTCAACTGGGCTGACTTGACCATTTGGAGCAATACTCTGTAACTCAAATTGGGCCTCCTGTTTTCTGGAGTCATCTGCCTCACTTCCCACCCTTGTCACTGTCCCCTCTCCACCAACCACACAAGTTCCAGGCTGGAAAGGTGATTATGGTAAGTATGATTATGCTGACTCCGTGAGTCCTCCTGGTGAATCACTGCACCTGGCGTGGTCTCAGGGACTCCCCCAACACAACAGCTAATGTCTGAGAGTTTATTACGGGCAGGTCTCAAGCTGAGCATTTGACGTGCACTCCTATGCTGAATCCTGGTAATAGGTGCTGTGATTACCCCTTCTTACCCCTGAGAAAACAGAGGCTTAGCAAAATTCAGTAATGGTAGCGACAGTGTCAGGACCAAAAGCCAGAGACCACGCCCTGAACATATAATACATCGTGCGGCATAGCAGATCAAGGCCAACCTTCTTAAGCTCTGCATCATGAGGGCCCTGCTGACCTCTCCACCCCACCCACCTCCGCTCCTTAGCAGCCACTCTCCAGCCACTCTCAGATGCTTCTCCCTCCCTCAACAAGTGTTTGGCTCCTGAGCCTTTGCTCATGCTAGTCCTCTGTATGGAAGGCTCTCTCCAACCTACCCCACTCCACACTATCTGCATGGCAAACGCCTACCCATCCTCAGAAGATTCAGTTCCATGGAGCCTCCCCTCAACGCCAATGGAAACTGCCAGCACCCATGCCAGTACGTCCTTCATGCTCTGGGCTATCGTGGCGCATTTACTTAGCTGCTGACCCCTCAGAAAGTGAATTCCTTTCAGCTAGGGAATATGTCCAGGACATCTCAGCAGCCCCACTGTGCCTGGACCACAATGGGAGCTTGGACCACATTTCTTGGTAGATAAAATGTGGGGCATCCATACCACACAGTCATAAAAAATGGTATTTTGGAAGAATAATGGCATGGGAAAATGTTCATGACAGGTTAAGAAAATTCAGGTTACAAAGCAGTACACATTCACATGTGTAGAAAATTTATAAAAGGCAAGCTTTGCCTGTAGGATGGGGAACTGAGTAGGGAGAATGACTTATTATTCATATACACTCCTATATACTCTTTCCATTTTATTATATGCATGTCTTCCTTTTTCAATTAAAGAAAAAACAAAGTAGTATATAAAACATGATTCCCACTCTGCTTTAAAAATTAAACAGACCGATGACCAGAAGGAAAGCCACAAAAATGTTAACAGTGGGTATCTCTGAATAATGCAATTATGAACTTATTTTTCTCATTTGCATTTTATTACTTTTGCAATCAGAACACAAATAATGCTATTTTCAAAACAGTTGGTCACGTGAACAATCGGTACCTGAAAAGAAGACTGAAAGGGTCTCATCTCCAACAGTTCCTTCTCAATTCTGGCTTTCATCCCAGGATACATCATGTTTCCCCCAGTGAGGAAAACGTTCTGAACTAGCAGCTCCTGAATGTCTTTTGGGTACCTAGGGGAGAAATGATATCCAACTTGAATATCACAGAGAATGTAAATGTGGAAATGTAAGCTCCCAGTACAAAAAAGAAAATATCTACAGAAAAAGTTAAAAAAAAAAATTTTTTTCATTTGTATCTCTACAGAATGCCAGTCCAATGTTTCCTAGTATCCAGTCAAAATCTAAATTCGAATGGTCAACTCATTTCCTTAATGTGATTAGACTTTCTGTACTTTTCTAATACATGTTTTAAAAAAATCTTTATTGAAAATTAATTTACATACATTTTGATAAAGGCTGACAAATCTATATACCCATATTAAGACACAGAACATATCTGCCATCCCTAAAAGTCCTGCCTCCGTTTTGAGCACCCATCTCCCCACCTGTGTTTTTTTGTTTTGTTTTAAATAATAGCTTAATCTTTTACATGTTTGATCACTTTCCCACCCACTGTTAAGGCTAAGCTCAAAGCCACTCAAACAAAGTAGCTGCAAAAGCTTTTTTCCTTGCCAGGTGCAAGTTTCCATTTTGTTATAATCAACAACAGCCAGAGTACTACAAATTATGTTCCCTATTTGTCCAACTTCAATTATGAAAACTCACACTGCAGGAAAATGCCAGTAGAAATGGGAGAAGGGAGATGCAGTCTTACAGAAATGTAAACTCTTCAATAAATAAAATGCCAGCAAGGAGGGAACTTTTATAAGCTCTGCAGTATTTTTAGGGTGATTTAAAATCACTAACTGTTAATACTGTGAAGGCTTTACATGGAAGTCAGTGCATATGTTATTGTGTTGCTCAAAATTAAAAAGAAACTCTTCCAGCTCCTCAAATCAACTGAGCATTTACATGTTCAGAAAACAATTATAGAGCCTCAACTAGGCGCCAGGCTGGGTGACAGAGATAAAATAATACTATCTGAGCACAGCATGTCAATGAAAACAAGAGAGTGAGACAGATTTCCAAAGTGCCCAACCATCAAATCTATCATTCAATGCAAAATCCAAGGAAATGTTTCAGGAAAATATAAGGAAGAGAAATTTCTCCATCTTACCTGTCCAGAATGTACTGAAGAGTCTCCGCTACCCCAGCCTGCTCTTCTCCTATGAGAGACGGCTGGAAAATGATTTCTGGAGCTCGAATTCTCTCTGTTCCAACAAACAGCTGATGATATGCTGCCAAGTTAAACACGGGCTTTAAAAACCCAAGGTTTAAAAGACATTTTTAGGTCATAATGACAAACATTCCAGTTGCCAGTTTCCTCAAATCACATTTCTTTTTCCAGTATAGTTTTTGTCCTTTGTTTATGCGAGCAAAGCTTCTCCCCAACTCTCCTGACTTAATAATTCAATTTTCTACTTCTCTCAACCTCTTAATTATAAATACCTACACATTTGCATCATGAAATGGTCCCTGAATTGCAGAGAGAGACTTTGTGGACAGTAGCAGTGAAAAGGCCCAGCATGGAAGACCAAGTCCCCTGCCCGGTACTGTGTGTAGCACCCCTGGTCCCTGCACAGCAAGACAGCTCTCTCCCCAGTGGGTCTGACTCAGGTCAGTTTATCTGGTTGCCATTGTAATGACAGAAACGTAGACCCCAACGAGGATTAAGTATAATGACATTAGCTTAAATTTAAATGAGATCATTAAAAGCCAGTCTTCAGGTCTAAAGTCCCTAATTATTTGCCCAAATGTTTTTACCAGGTAGACTATTTCTTTCTTTTCTTTTCTTTTTTTTTTTAATAAAAGATGACCGGTGAGGGGATCTTAACCCTTGACTTGGTGTTATCAGCACCACACTCTCCCAAGTGAGCTATGGGCCGGCCCTCAGGTAGACTATTTCTCATAGATTCACAGATCTTGGTACTGGAACCAATCACTGGAGGAAAAAAAACCCTGACTTTCTATATTTTAAGTATTGGTACCTCCTTTTCTAGAAAACACAACTGAGATTTTAAAAAATATATTCCTATAGAAACAAACTGTCATTTATGCCAACAGCTTCAAAGCATAAGCATAGTCTATGCTGCAGGAGTCAAACCTGGACAGTGGTGACAGGCTTCTCCACCTCAGGTGTCTCCTCTGAAAACAAGGGTTCAAAATCATTCATGGTTTCCACTTCTTCCAATGATGGTTCTAGCTGCTCCAGGTCAGGGGTCTAAGAATAGAATAGAATAAAATAAACAAAACAGAACAGAACTCATACCTTCAGCAAGCCTTAGTTCTATTAGTTCAGTGTCATGAAAAAGAATTGGGATCTTGCCCAATGTTCTAAAAGCTTACATAAAAATATGAAAAATTTTCTAAGCTATTTTTAAAAAAGAACACACATGAACACAAAGATTAAAAGACCAAAAAGCCAGAAATGGGCTTTGCTTTGATCCCCTTCCTTTCCTACTAATACAGCCTCAACTCCCATCTTCTCTGGAGCCTTGTACTGGTGCCAGCCCCCCAATTCAAGACCTGCTGCCTGCAATTAGTCACACCACCATACACAGCTCTGGGGGAGAAAGGCGTGACAGCTGGTGTCCTACAAAGTGGCTAGGCTACCAGTAACATTAAATAAATCTCTTAATAACTAATAAATATATGTGCCAACATGAATTAGACCCTTAACAGCGGGTCTTGGTGGGCTGGTGATGTGACTAAAAGCCCCAAGGTGGCAGAGTGCTTCCTATCTGTGGAATCCTGCAAGAACAGGCTCTCTTCTTCCAGGGCAATGAGCCTGGGTGGGGTCTAGACACACTGGCACCATTCCTGATAGATAGTTTAGGGCACTTTTATTTTAATTTTAACCAGAACAAAAGATTGTAGGGGAGGAAGTGGTTCTGGAAGACCTCTTTAGCCAGCTGTCATTCTGCCACGTGAAAGGCAGATGAGTCTCACTCTTCTCCACTCGAAAGGGAGAAGTTGCAGGAAGAAACATTTTGCTGCATCCCATGGAAAAATGCTCTAATGATGACAGCTGTTGTAGAATGCACTGTCGTACGAGGTGGCATCTTGGGAAGGTTCAAGCAGACTCAGTAACCAACAGCCAAGTGTGCCTCTGAGGACATTCTTAGGATGAGTATGTAGCCTCTGAGTCCTCCTTACTCTCAGAATCTATCAAGTACATAAATTACTGACATTATTCAGAGAACTTAAATATACTTCTCTAAAGCTTACTCATATATACGGCAGCTGTAAACTATCATTCAAACTTACTCTTAAATAAGGTAATGTCCCCTCAATACCCTACACATATTCACAAAAAAGTCATGTGGCATATATGGCACACAGAATGGGTGACAACATATTCTGAATTCTGTTCTACCATATTTAAGACAATTTTATCATATGTAAGGGGAATTTTCCAGGCCTGAGGGTAAACCCTAGAAAGTCTGAGTCTAGAGGACAGAATGAGAGGGCTGGTTTATAAAGAGGTAATTTAGGGATGTAAGAAGGTGAGCTGGGGGACAAGAATCTAAAGGACCTCGCTCTCAGTGAAGGAGGCAAGAGTATCTCTGCGAACACTGAATCGGATGCAGGGGCAGGGACACCTGCTACTGCACAATCTTCACTGTACATGTTATTACCACATTTTACGGGTGAGGAAGCTGTGGCACAGGGAGGTGAGGTAACTCGCCCAAGGTCACATCACACTAAGTGGTGGAAACCTCGATGGAGACAGAACTGCTCAGCTCCAAAGTCTCTGCTGAGATTCTACAAATCATGAGTCTGAGTTTGAGAAGACAATCAAGGATTTAGGAGTAAGGAAAAGATCTTGCCCGAGATCAGAGTGGGTAATATGGGAGATGAACATGTGATTTTACATGTGGCAGCGAAGCCAGCTGAAATGAATGACGGGCTCCTCTATCCAAGCAGGGGCGGCAGAGGGTGCATGAAGGAACCTTCCCCTTGCCACCTGCAGATTGTGACCTGGTAGGCTCTCAGCTCCCCTCACAAGAAAGGAGCCCCTACCAGAAGAGTGCCTGTGCCTCTTCTGGTGTGGCATTAAGCCCAGCTCTTCAGAAATGACCTGAAATGCAGTTCCAAGAGAGGATCAGAAATTGATCACCAGAGTTCCCGTTCATTTTGGTGGCTTGTCATCTAGGACAATCAGCAACTAGGAGGCAGTATGGTGTCAGAAAGTGGTCAGGCTTTGGAGTCACACTGATCAAGTCACACTGATCTGAATGCCAACCAAAGACATATTAAAGGTCACAGTGGTAGAGCTGGAAAAAGTACACTCTGAGCCACTTCTCCATCTCTAAGTGGCACATGAACCTAGGGCAGTGTTGGGTGAGAAATGAACACTCCTTCTTCCCTTTTAAACGCACTCAACTTGGCCCCTTAAATAATTCACTTGTATTAGTGGGTTGGAGACACAAACGTCATCTGTGTATTTAAAATAGCTACAGATTTCCACTGAGTGTTTGTAAGAAAAAAACATTAAATAAAACTACAGACGAAACTTGTGACCCTCAAATAATAATGGGTGAAGGCAAGCACTGGGCTCCACTGGGGTTGTTCCTGTCTACCTCTCTATACCCCAGACCTGTACCCTACTCTTTATCGTCATCCTAGCCTCCCCTCCTCTGATCTTCCTCACCTCCAAGTGATGACCCCTCTTGTGGATTCTCACCCTTCTCTACTTAGCTTGTGATTCAATCACAGCTGCCACTGTCCCTCCACCCCAGCTCTACCCACTGCTGCACCCAACAGCCATTTCTCAATCCTAAAGGATGCCCCAATACTCCTTCCACTTCTGCTCTGGGATGGATTGTATTTTTCAAAGATGATTACAACAGTATCTTCCATTCCACACACTCTTCTGCAGTGTGACCCTGACCTTCCCATAAAGAGGTGGAGGTCTGTTTCCTCCCCTTGAATCTCAGCAGGGGCTTGTGAGGACTCCAACCAATACAGTAAGGTGCAAATGATGTCATGTGACTTCCGAGGCAAGGTCAGAAAAGGCCACACAGCTTCTTTCCACCTTCATCTCTTGAAACGTGTGGGTGCCCAGGTCATCAGTCCCTCCTGAACCCAGCCTTTGAGTCATCCCAGTCCAGCTGCCAGACAGTTCAGTGAAAAGCCCTCCAGATGACTCAAGTCCCCAACTATTCAAGTCTTCCCAGCTGAGGTCTCAGGCATCTTGGAGCAGAGATCCCTGCTGTATGTACCCTGTCTAAATTCCTGACCCATCAAACCATGAGCACAATAAAATGATTGCTTTATGCTACTAAGTTTGGAGATTTTTTTTTACAAACATAGCAACAGATAAGTGAAATCTGCTTTCAGTGTGGCAGGAGTGGAGAAAGCCCCAGACCACTACTAGGCAATCCTTCCGTTACTCTTCAGTTTCTCTGTGCACCACCCGCAGCAGACCAACACTCTTCTGCTCAGTCCCCTTTCTAATCTCAATCCTGTGACTCCTGGCAGATCACCTTAGCTACTTCAAAACATGAACTTCCCTATTTATTCTCCATTCTATTTCCTTACTTATCTTTTTTTTTTCTTATCTTTTTTCCTTTCATTCTTCTTGCCCCAAAGGACGAATGTACCATCTTCCACCCTAGGTAATTAATGCTCACCACCTATGCTCTTAAAACTCTCCCATCAACCTTCCTGGCTTCTCTCCTCTGAGCACTCTTTCTCAATCTCTCTCCCTGGCTTTCCTCCTGCCATCTAACTTCCAAGTAGTGGCGCTTCTTAGGCATTCTTCTGTTCTCTCTCCCTATTTGATTCTATGTCCTCCCATAGCTGAGTCCTGGAGAGCTCCACCTGATGTCCCACGAAGACTTTAAAGATAAGGTGCTGAAAACTGAGCTGATTATCTTCCCAAACTTGGTCAAAGGCACTATCCCCCTACCCCCCGCCTTTCAATACAGCCTAAGTGTTATCACAGTGGAACCTGGAATTGGATGGCTGTGTTTGAATCTCAGCTGCACTACTTCTAGCTCTGTGACCATGGGCAAATTTCTTCACTCTGCAGTCTCAATTTCCTCGTCTGTCTAAAGGGACTTACTGAGCTCTGAAAATGATCCAGGACAATTCCTGCAGAAGTGCTCGGCACAGGGTCTGGCACAGGTCATGTGCTCTATCGTCATCAGCCACCTGCCACTCCTGTCACCTCGGCTTTGTAAATGGCACCAAGATCTTTGGATCCTACCTCTGAAGTGTCTCCTCATCCAACCTCCATCCCCATGGCAAATGACAAACTTCAGGTCCACATCGGCTCTCTTCTGGATACTACAACACGTTTTTATTCTGTTTTCCTGCCTTTGGCCTCACCTCTCCCTTCAACCCATCATCCTAACCACCACCAGTCATTTTCCTAAAATAAAACCTCATCCTATCATTTCCTGCTCAACATTCCTAGAAAGCTCTGTCTGTCTTAAAGGTAATATGCAGACTCCTTAGCCTGACTGGTAAAGACCTTCATAGCTGTCATATCCCCATTCATATGAGTCACAGAAAGGAACAGAGCTAATCATCTCAAGGCAGAGAACAGGCATCTAACAGAGAACAGATTTCTCCATCACGGTTGGCTTCTCTCCCCCTAGGGTTTGCCAAGGTCTCCACATGTATGGTGGGGTGTCTGGAAACACTAATATGACTGTTCTTTTGGAACTGAACAGAAGACAATTTGCCAAAGCACATCAGAGAAGATACAGCACGGCTCCCTGGAAGAGTCTCAAGAGGAAGAAGATCAAGCAGGGGCCAGCTCTGATCTTGGCTAGTAAAGCAAGAGAACTTTCTGCATTTGGCCCATTGTGCTTTCCAACAAATGACAATGCTCTAAAACTGTGCTCTCTCCCACCTACCCTCTTATGCTGTGCATGTAGATATGAAAAACAAGCATCTTCTAGGTTAAATACATCATTAAGAATGCTAAAAAAGCCTACTCCTTTACAAATTCTCAAAGAAACAACTGTAGAATAGCAATGGCCAGAATGGACAGGTCTGTAGGAGAAAATGAATTTTAGGAAACACTGTAAGTTATGGCTGCTGGTTAGCTCAGTTGGTTAGAGCATGGTGTTGATAACACCAAGGTCAAAGGTTTGTAATCCCCGTACCCACCAACTGCAAAAAAAAAAAAAATTCCACCTCTATTAATCCAATTCAGCCATTATTGCTTAAGTGGACCCATGAATGTGACTGTAATTGATTTTAATCACTAAAAATCATCCTTAATAAATGCTGACTGACCAGTAAAGTTTTGGTGACAGGTCAATTCATCAAATTTGTTGTATATAGTGAAATCTTTTGAAGTCCAACATTTCAAAATCTCCCCAAGCTCAGGGAGATTTAAATATATGTCCCCAGAACACAGAACAAAGTTAGTGCTTACTAATTATCTGCTAAATGAATGAAAGGGTGGTTAAATCACAGCATGTAACAACTGTAGAAAAATGAACAAAGAAAAGGAAAAACTAATTCCACAATTGCTCAGGAGTCACATCTTCAGTTTTGTTTTTTTTCCCTTTTTAAATCTGAAATTCTTCACCTGCGTGTGTCTTAGTAGCACCTCTCTGGTAAAAAGAAGCTTATATCCTGTTGACATGTTAAACATGACAAAAACTAAATATGGATGAACAGGTAACAAAGACAACATGGTTCTGGATTTCAGGGAGCAACAGCTCAAATATGAAATACAGACCTAAAAACTGGGAAAAGCAAACTGGAAAAGGCACATTGATTCAACAGAAGCTGATCTGCAATGATGTGGGGGAGTAAGATGGTAGTAAAGGTCCCTTCGGCCCAAGATCTTAGTGAAGTGATCCAGTAAGGTGTATCTAGTAAACCTACTTGAGGATCTGCTCTATAAAGCATGGATGCTCACGGACAGTTACTGTCCTCACATAACCTATAGCCTGTCAAGAAGAGGTAGAAAATGCAAGTCTGAAGGCAGGAAATAAGTGAGCCTCCAGCTGAGAGCCCCTCACTGCAAAAGAAAGCTTCATGCTGAGCCAAAGATAGCTCTGACGTCACTGATAAGCACCATGCTACACCCAGCACCAAAAGGCACTGAGTTGGACTTTCCCACAGTACTGTTTCTTTCTAAAAGCAGAGGTAATCAAGAGTTTAAAGAAAGTTGATTTAAAAACAAAAAACCAACAAGCTAATCTACTTAATTCTGCCTCAAACATGTCACAAGGCTACAAATATGTGCCTTTGTTTTAGAAGTCAGGGATGACAAATTAAGGAACAATGCATACACTTATTGACACTTTGTTCCAGTCTTAAAGACAGGAGACCCAACCAGTGTCTTCTGGGCTGAGGAGCGACCTGCGAGCCGCCTCTTCACCACACAGGCCCCAAGATGCCAGGGTCTGTATTACCCACAGTCTGAGATCAGCTCTGCCTCCTGCCCTTTTGACCACACCAACACTTATTATAGTCTACAGGCAGGAAAATGGAAAGGAGAAACATAGAAAATCAAAGAGCTTATTTAAAGAGTTAGTCTTTAGTAACTAACGAACGTCTGATCTTAACCTACGAATATTTTATTGAGTATATCTATTAGTTGCTGTAAAAAAGTTCATAAACCATGTATGAAGTACGATCCCTATCCTTAGGGAATATCAAGATAGAAAGGAGGTAAGTGAACCCTCAACCACAATATATTTACTAAAATGCCAGAAGAAAGTTAAAGGGAGTGTATGACTAGCTGTCAAATGACCATCAGAGGAACAAGTGCAGGTTAGAGACAGCACCACATGATTGGTGTGTGACTGTTCTTCCTACTACAAGCACACCTTCCCTCCCAGGGGGCCAGAGGTCTACAGGGTGAAATCCCTCCAGTCAGAACTTTGGTTGGTACAAGAGCCATCGCTGCCCTCACCACATCCCTGTGGACATCACTCATCATACTACTCTTTTCTTCCCGAGTCTGGCTACAACCCTTTTGACGTCAGCGTCTTCAGGACACTCCTCACCCTCAAGAAGGGCGGCCCTCTCTAAATGACCCTACAGGACCTCCCTCCTAAGGCCCTCATTTACCTCCGGCTTGCTGTCTACCACATCCACTTCGAGGTTGACTTCTGCTTGAAGGATCTTCTGCTTAGCTTGCTCCACCGCCAAACTGAGCTTTTGTATGTAGGACTGCAGCTCTTCTGGGGAGTCCATGTTCAGCTCTATCAGAGCTTTGTGAAACTGATCCATCTGGCCATCCTCTAGAAGTTCCTGAAACCAGAGCGGTCATAATTCATCCTCAAAGACACACAGTGCCATTGTAAACAGGAAGGAAAGAGAAGAGCTGCAGCAGGAGAGGGCTCCCAGAGCCCTGGGGGCCTGCCCCTCCACAGAATCACACCTCCAGCTCCCACCCAAGTCTCACACAGTGGCCCTCCTCTCCAGCTGTCCCAGGCTGGCATCACATCATGGTTTTGGCATCACCTGATCAGGCAACACTAATGTATGTTGACAGATGTCGGAAATGTTACCTTTTGGAAGGGAGGAGGGAAAGTTATTGACTGAGAAGAGACGTGAGGGAGGCTTCTGGGATGCTGGTAAGGCTCTGTTTCTTGATCTAATGAAAGATACATGGGTCTGTTTCACTTCATGAAAATTCATCAAGATGCAGATTTAATGTTTGTGCACTTTTGCATCATTTGTACTATATTTATGTTAAAAAGTTAAAAAAAATTTCAAGGATATCGTAAGCTTACAGAGAAAAAAAGAAAAAAAAGTTAAAAAGTAAAAGGAAACTATAGGGCACAAATGAACAAATCAATAAATCCAGAGTCTACAGCTCTTTCAGAAACACCTGCTGCTTTACTGTACTCTATACTGATGATCTCTGTATTAATGATTCTCCTGGACTCCTTCTTGACCCCAAAGGTGACTTTGACAGTCAACGCATTTTATGGCTGAGGAACAATACATAGGAAGAAAACGTTCTGGGACTACCTTGTTGAGCAAGGCTGGGGACTCATCCTGGTCTCTGCTCTTACCTGCACATAGAGCAATCTGTCCAGCCGCTCCTGATCCAGCTGCAGCTTCTCCTCCCGCCGCCGGGCGTTGAGCTCCTGCAGCCGCCGCAATTGCTGCTGCCGCCTTTCCTGTTTCTCCTCAGAGGTCAGAGTGCTGCCAAGGAGCTTGCTGGAAAACGGAAGCTGCATCTTGTGGACGTTGTTCTCATAATAATCAGGGCACTGCCACTTCTGCAATTCTTCAAAGAAATAATTTTGGAAGTCATGAAATGGAACACTATTAACACAAAAATTAAAAAGTCAACACTAGGGTTTCAGATGCAGGGAAGATGAAGAAAACACATGCCACTCAATCTCTGAATCCAGTCAATCAACTAAATGCAGCTATAAAACCTGGATATCATGCCAGCAGACCTGTTCTAAAGGCATTGCTACATAAAGTTCCTCAGATGTAAATAATAACAGAAGGAAGCTTGGAACACCAGGAATAAAGGAAGAGCAATAGAAATGATAAAAATCTGGTTAAACATAACAGACTAATCTCATGAGTTCTTTAAAATATGTTTGACAACTGAAAGTAAAAACCATAACACTGTCTGATGGGTTTCCAATGTATGTAATACACAAGACAACTATACAACATAAATGGGGAAGGATAAAGGAGTCTATATAGTGCAAATATTTCTACATTCCACTTGATGCGGTAAATATTGATTCTAAGTAGACTATGAAAAGTTATGTTTACTTTAATCTCCACAACAACTACTAAAAAAAAACTACACACAGTAAAAAACACAACAGAAAATTAAATGGAATACAGGGGGGAAAAATGTTCAAACAACCTAAAAGAAGGCAGAAGGAAACGGAGGAAAAATAAACACAGGAATAATAGGAGGAACAACAAAAAACAAATAATAAAACGGTGGGCCTAAATCCAAACATATAACTAAATTAATTGTAAAAGGTCTTAATATGCCAATTAAAAGATGGATATTAACAGAATGGATTTTTAAAAAATGACCCAACTATTAAGAAACTCACTTTGAATATAATGATACAGGTAGATTAAAAGCAAAAGGATGAAAAGATGTACCACACAAACACTAATCAAACAAAAGTTGGAGAGGGTGTATTAATATTCAAGTAGACATGAAAGCAAAGAAAATTGACATGTTAGGTTAATCTGCCCAGAGGACCTAAGAATCCTAAATATGTACCTAACAAAAGAGATTCAGATACCTGAAAGCGAAAACTGACAGAACAGAAAAAATAACTAAGAAAATCCACAATTATATCTACAGATTTCAACACTCCTTTCTCAATAATCAATAGAGTTAGTAGATAGAAAATGAACAGGGATACACGAGAACTGAACACCACCATCAACCAACAGAATCTAAGTCACATCATAGAACACTCCACCTAAAATGAGCAGAATACATATCCTTTTCAAGTGTATGTGGAACTTTTGCCAAAGTGGACCATATCCTGGGTTATAAAACAAACAAGTTTAACTGGTATCAGACAAAGAAAGTTCTTTGAGCATAATGGATTTAAACTAGAAATAAATCACAGAAAAGTAACAGGGAAATTTCCAAACACTTGGACATAACACATTTTTAAATAATGAATTGCTCAAAGAAGTCATGAGGAAAATTAGAAAATACTTGAACTCAATAAAAATTAAAATATATCAAAACGTGTGGGATGCACCCCTTACTGGCCAGCTGCCCAAGAAAAGAAAATTGTGGGATGCAGATAAAGCAGTGATGAGAGGGAAATTCACAGCATTAAATGCTTATATTAAAAAGAATGCCCTACCAAAAGAATAAATTAATTAAATAAGAGTGATCTCATGATAATCTAAACTTCTACCTTAAGAAACTGGGGGGGAGAAAAAAGAGCAAAATAAACCTAAAACAAGTAGAAGGAGGGAAATAATAAAGAGAGGAAATCAATAAGGCTACCTAATAATCCTATGTCTATTAAAGAAATTGTATTCATAGTTAAAAGCCTTCAGAAAAAGAAGGCTTGAATGGTTTCACTGGAGAATTCTACCAGAAAGAAAGAAAAATAACACCAATTATTTTATTTATTTATTTATTTATTTATTTATTTTTCTTTCCTTTTTGTCTTTTTTACTGACCGGTAACGGGATCGCAACCTTCAGTGTCACGCCCGTACCGGGGACCGGCAACGGAATCGCAACCCTCGGTGTTGCGCCCGCACCACGCTCAGCCAGTGAGCGGGAACCGGTCTCCACATGGGATCCAAACCCTTGGCGGGAGCGCCGCCGCACTCCCAAGCGGCGCACTCTCCAGTGCGCCACCGGGCCGGCCCTAACACCAATTATTTATACAATCTTTTCCAGAAAAGAGAAGAGGGAACATTTTTCAACTCATTAACAATGCCAGGGGCCAGCCCATGGCTCACTTGGGAGAGCATGGTGCTGACAACACCAAGTCAAGGGTTAAAATACCCTTACCGGTCATTTAAAAAAAAAAACAATGCCAGTCTCACCTTGGCACCAAAACCACACAAAGACAGTATAAGAAAACTACACACCAATATTCCTCATGAATATAAACAAAAAACCTACAAAGTATTACCAAATCGAACCCAGCAATATATAAAAAGAGTAATATATATGAATAAGTTGGGTTTATACCCCCAAATCAAGGCTGGCTCCATATTAGAAAAGCAATTATAATCCCCCATCTAAACAGTCTAAAGTAGAAACACCATAGGATCATCTCAACTGATGCAGAAAAAAACATTTCACAAAATTCAAAATCCATTCATGATAAAAATTATCAGCAAAATTAGGAATAGAAAGGAACTTCCTCAACTTGATAAACGGCATCTGCAAGATCCTAGAGCTAACACCTCATACTTAATACTTAAAGACTAAAGGCTTCCCCACACCACCACCCCAACATCAGGAATTAGAAACAAGGCTAGGATGCTTACTCTCACCACTCCTATTGAACACTGTACTGGAAGTCCTATCCAATGAAAGAAGGCAAGAAAAAGAAATTAAAGGCATACAGATTGGAAGGAAAAAAATAAAACTATCTTTATTCCCAGATGACACATCTACTCAGAAATCCCTAAAGAATCTACAAAAACCTAGAACTAATAAGTTTAGCAAGGTCACAGGAAACAAAATCAACACATAAAACTGAATTGCATATCTATACACTGACAGTGAGCAACTAGAAACTGAAATAAAAAAAACAAAAGAAACACTTAGGCATAAAACTAATCAAACATGCACAGAATCTGTGCTGAAAAACTACAAAATACTGACAAAAGAAATCAATAAAGACCTAGATAAATGGAAAGACATACCATGTTCATGAACTAGAAGACTCAACATAGTAAAAATGTCAATTCTCCCCACATTGATCTACAGATTTAGTGTAATTTCAATCAAAATCCCAACAGAGTTTTTTTTGTATATATGGAAAAGCTGATCCTAATACTTACATGGAAAGGCAAAGGAAATAGAATAGCCAAAACAATTTTCAAAAAAGAATAAAGTTGTAGAAATCATGCTACTTGGTTTTAAGAGTTAATTATAAAGTGACAGTAATCAAGACAGTGTTTTACTGGATAAGGAACAGACACACAGATCAATGGAACAGAATAGAATCCAGAGACAGATGGGCACAAATATGGCCAACTGACTTTTTTTTTTTTTAAGATGACCAGTAAGGGGATCTTAACCCTCGACTTGGTGTTGTCAGCACCACGCTCTCCCAAGTGAGCGAATAGGCCATCCCTATATAGGGATCCGAACCCGTGGCCTTGGTGTTATCAGCACCACACTGTCCCAAGTAAGCCATGGGCTGGCCCTGGCCAATTGATTTTTGTCAAAGATGTAAAGTCAATTGAATGGAGAAAAGATAGTTATACAGAAAAATGGCCTGGGACTGCTATACTTGAAAAGGCCTGCTCGAAAGGTTGGTCCTTGGCTGGCATCTGGGAACATGGCAGGAAAACGGTTCTCTACACTCATATAAAACTTTTCCTAATGATAAGGTGGTTCATTTCTTCTAGACTGTGCAAACAATATGGTCTATGCTAAACACCTGTTTTCTTCCTAGAAGCCTGGAATTTTGGTACACACTGGGTGGAGTGTGCCTGTGTGACTCATCTCCAACTTTGGGCACTGGGTCTCTATGAGCTTCCTTAGTAGAAAACACTTCATGCATGCCCTCACAACTTGTTAAGTGTGTGCGGCTACACTGGAAGGCTTCGGCTGGCAGCCCCCAAACTTCATGCTGTATCCTTTGGCATATTTACTTTGTATCCTTGCAATGTAATGAAAACCATAACCACGAGTATAATGACTTCTGAGTCCTGCATGTCTTTCTAAGAAAATCACCAAACCTGTAAGTGGTTATGGGGACGCCCAAAACAACAGTCTTACCAACAAATGATTTAAAATAATTGGACACCCATATATCAAAAAAAAATAAAAAACTGTGACTGAACCCTTACACCTTATAAAAAGTGAACTCAAAATGAACCAGAGGGGCCGGCCCAGTGGCGCACTGCTACAGTGCGCCGCTTGGGAGCATGGTGGAGCTCCCACCAAGGGTTCGGATCCCACATACAGACCGGCCGCTCACTGGCTGAGCGAGGAGCAGGGGCAACACCGAGGGTTGTGATCCCGTTGCCGGTCCCGGTCCGGTACGGGCGCGACACTGAGGGTTGCGATCCGTTGCCGGACATGAAAAAAGACAAAAAAAAAAAATGAACCAGAGAACTCAACTTAAACACAGAAATATAAAACCTATAGAAGAAAACACAGAAGAAAATCTTCATACTTGGGGTTCTGAGACATGATGTCAAAACCATGATCTATACAAGAAAAATAATAAATTGGACTTCATCAAAAATAAAATCTTTTTAAATGCAAGACACTGTTAAGAAAATAAAAAATAGTCTACAGATGGAAGAAAATACCTGAAAATCATATAGCCAACAAATGACTTGCATCTAGAATATATACCAATTAAAAAAAAAAAAACTATCAAAACAAAACATTAAGAAAACCAACAATTCACTTACAAAGTAGGCAAAAGACTTGAACAGACACGTCAAGAAAGGGGACATATGGAAGGTAAATATGCACTTGAAAAGATGTTCAACATCTTTAGCCACTCGCCAAATATAAATTAAAACCTCGATGAGCCTCCACTACCCAACTATTAGAATAGCTAAAATAAGAAACAGTGACAATACCAAGTGCTAGCAAGAATGTGAAGCAACTGGAACTCTCATACATTGCCGGTGCGAATGCAAAATAGTACAGCTACTCCGGAAAATAATTAGGCAGCTTCTTATAAACTTAAACATACATTTACCACATAACCAAGCAATCCAGTTGTCCTGGAGAAATAACTCATGTTCACACAAAAATCTGTACGTGAGTATTTATAGTAGCTCTATTCACTAGAGGAAAATGAAGGAGGACACATATTAAAGATGGAGTCACTGCTGCTATACAGAACTGAGACTGTGTCAGCAAGAGTGCAAAAGACTGTGTCAGCAAGAATTTGCAAGGCTTTACCGCAAACCACAGACTTCCTATGGGGTTGCCTAGGAAATGGGGAGGTATGGGAGCGGTTTACAGCTGGCTCAAACATATGTAACGCATGCTTGCAGAGAATAAAGTTGCAGAGTACATGTACTAAGTCCCAGAACTTTGTGTCTGGTTTCTGGTTGCCCACCTCCCTAGGTGGCAGCCCCAATCTCAGGTGCATCCTGAGCAACTCACCTTGCTGCACTCCCTTGGCAGGGCTACATGTAGCCCTGCTTCCTGAGGGACTCTGTGGTCTGCACTAGTCCCCCAGGGCCAAGAGAAACGTGAAATTCACAATCACCAAAAACCGGAAACAACCCAACTGACCCTTACTGGGTGAACAGATAAACAAGCTGTGGTACATTCATACAATGGAACATGATTCCAAAATAAAAAGGAATGAACTGTTGATATAAACTCAACAACTTAGATGAACCTCAAAGGCATAACACTAGTGAAAAAAGATAACAGTACAGTTTCAAAAGGTTATATACTACTTGATTTCATTTATGTGATGGTTTTGAAAACACAAAACCACAGTGACAGAGAACAGGTGCATGCTTGCCTAGGCTTGGAGTGGGGACAGGATATGGCTATAAAGAGATAGCATGAGGGAGTTTTTCGGGATAATGGAATTGTTCTGTATCCTGATTATGGTGGTGGTTACATGGAGCTATACGTGTGTTAAAATTCATAGAAATGTAGCAAAAAAAAAAAAAAAGTCAGTATGAATATCAGAGCACCTTGAGAATAGAGAAGTAGGAGCTAGGAGAGCTGTGTGCTTCGGCTATGTCTTCTGGCCTGAGTGATCTCATCAGGTATTTCTTTCCATATCTGCCTCCCCAATTTCTTTGTCTCCCAGGAATAACAGATACTTAATAAACGCTTTTTGAAGTTAATTAAGACACGGCTCTTCACACTACTGAACTGTACATTTAAAAACGGTTACGATGATATGATAAATTTTATGTTAGGTGGTTTTTACCACAATAAAAACATGGCTCTTGCCCTACAAGAGCTCACTAGTGGTCAGTTGAAGTCAGCACCTTCAATGCCAATAAAAAAATCCATTCACGTACTGTGGAACAGGGTGGTATTCACAGCGGCACAGTTCACAGTCCTTTGGTTTTATCCGAACTATTTATATTTGTGAGGAACACATTATTTCCATTACATCTGGGTGATAACAGTAATGAAAAGTATTACCAGTGTAAAATAGAACCGAAAGTTCAAGAGAAAAACTTGCTTCTGGAGCACAGATTCTAGATTAATGATGTTATGAAACAATTTTAACTGTTTTCAAACTTTAACTATTTTTAATCTAGTATGTTCTGTTCCCCCTTTAAAATGTTTAACTGTTGGAAAAAGTTGAAAGTTGTACAATTCCAACACGAGTATTAGAGGCAAGTTTAAAAAGCTACCATTTATGAAGGGAACCTACATATGTAAGTTATCAGTTCACTGAACAGTTTAAGAAAGTGAATACCAAAAGGTGATGGGGGTGCTAAAAAATAGTAAGAGTAAAAGAGTGAGCAAGCAAAAGAGTCACCTGGTAATAATTTAAGAAACACCCCAAAGGTAGACAAGAGTCCTCTTCATTACCTTCCACGTAATCCTCAGCGATGTAGCTGTGCTCATGCAGGATCTCCTCCATGCGGCTGAGGGTGATGGCTGCCAGGTGTCCAGGATACTTCAGCTGGAGGAGACGCTGGAGGTAGCCAGCTGCTTGGCTTCCTCCAAGATTGATACGCTTGCAGTTTTTAGCATCTAACCTACAACCAAGCAGTAGAAAGCAATGCTGAAATTTTAGGCAACATGGAGAAGAAAATGTGGAGCATCTTGGGGGAAATAGGATAAAGAATAAATAGACAAGAAGGGCAAACATAAAACCTTACACTTGGAAGGAACTTTAAAGTTCCCTTGGCCCAACCTCTTACCCAAGACAAGAATTCCTAGTCCACACCCAGACAGACACACAGCCATCTAACTTCTGGCCAGAATCTCAGAAAGAAACAATGGAAAGAACTTGCATTCCAAAGTCAGACCTCTATGTGATTCATGTATTTTTCAAACTGTGGCCCTGGGACCAAGTATCCCAGAATTAGCTGGGGAAAATGTTAAACATGCCAATTTCCAGGACTCAATTGCTCTGGGGTGGGTCTGGGAATCTGCATTTTAACAAGCTCCTCAAGTGACTGGTGCAAACCAGAGTTTGAGAACTCTTCCCCTAGATGCTCCACTTCTACTTATACAAACAGATTAATTAACCATACACATACTGGCTTACTGTAATCTTCTAAAAATCTGATCCCTTTCACATGAACCAAAGGGGAAGAGAACCAAAGTAACGTTATTTTCTTTACGTGAGGAAATAAGAGTTGCAGAGCACTAGGAACTTGTATGGTAAATGAAACGTCACTGCTGTATGACATCTCACCAGTAGATGCCAGCATAGAACAGGATATGCTCCCATCTGATGTCTTGGTCTTCGGGTAATAATTTTCTTTCAATATAAGATAAAAACATGTTTTTAATTTCTCCTATTTTGTTTAGATAAAATAGAGAACTCAGTACCTCAGGAGTGTTTGGTAATGTCTAAGAAATACTTTTATCTTCAAAGATTATCATGGAAACTTCAAGAAAAATTCCCATTATAGGTCTCAATAAATTCAATGGCATTTATTTTGACTTAAATATTCAGACTGCTTTACAGTTTACAATGTGCCATCTCATTTCATCCTCAGGGTAACCCCGGGAATTTTCCCAATTTTATGATAGGAAACTAAGTGAATGAGTACCTCATCCTTAGCAGGGCTTCAAATCCAGGCATTCAACTCCAAAGCCATAGTTCTTTGCCTTCAGTGCACACCTCTTTATGCAATGTGAGATTTCTCAAGAGATCATGATACTAGCCTAGTCTCTTATCAGACAATGAAAGCCAAACTATAAAGTGTGAACAGATTTTAAATATGATACAAACTACCCTTGCCTTTTATTCAACTCGGAAATATTTAATAAGTGCCTATTATGTGCCCAGCACTGTACCTGAACAGAAAGCTCTAAACAATAGCGATTAAAGAGCTTTAAATTAAAAAACAAAAAACGAAAAAAACTTCTTAGTAAAAAAGTGACTCCAGAACACAAAAATGGTCTAAATTAAATTGACTCAAGTAATTTATTCAAAATATTTTTATTTAGTGCCTACTACTTCCAGGTACTGTGTAGCTATCTCTCCATAAATCAGAATTATAAAACTGTAGAATTACGGATGTGGACCTAAGATACCATCCACCCCAACTCCCTTTGGGACACCTGACTTACCCATAGTCACACAATGAGGTAGGTCAAAGCTAAGCCTAGAAGCTCAGTTCACAGTCTAGCACTTGCTCTTTCTACTCTGTCTCTAAAGTAGGCACTAAATAAATGTATCCTGAATGTCTCTCAAAATAGCACTCAAATGCCACAAGTGCAACTCACCTCCCTTCTAAGATGGGTAAAATATGTGTACACTGGTATCCAGATGAAATGATGAGCCCACTGGAAGTCGAGTTCTTTGGCTTACTGTGGTAGAAGCTGAAGAGGCTGTCTATTCCATAGGCAACCTTTGGAATCCCGTAGCACTCAAAAAGAAGCTCAGACATCATTTGTCGTGAATACAATGGGTTACACACAGCTTCTGTCAAAACTATGGGATGATCAACACAGCCCTACTTTGAAAGAAAAGGGCAAATAGATGACTGGTAACAGATACTCTTTTTAAAGAATGAAATAACCCAAATCCTTACTGCAGGGCTGAATTTGCTTTTGGTCTTTCGTCAAAAACCTGCTCAGAAGCAACTGTAAAACACTAATTTCATCTCTACTGGAAAATATGAAAGTAGAGTCAATTTAAGGTTAGTAAGTTAAGTCCTATCCAAACTGTCAGCAAATCATCTTCAAAATATCTCCAGAACCCAGCTGCTTCTTACCACATCTCCTGCTGCCTCTCTCATCTAACGCACCAACATCCCTCAGCTGGTTATTGCAACAGCCTCCTAATTGGTCTCTGTGCTTCCTCTCTATGACCTTTGACAGTCCATTTTCCATACAGAAGCCATAGTGATCTTCTTGAAACATAAATCGCATCCCTCCTCTGTTCAACGCCCTGCAATGGTTCCCCATTTCAGAGTAAAAGCCTATGAGGTGTATGATTTGCCCTCTCATTACCTCTCTGACATCCTCTTCCAGATAGTACCTCATACTACTCTCCACCTCGCTCTGGCTGCTCTAGAACTAGGATTAGGGCCTTTTCACCGGCTATTTTCCCTCTGACTAGAACACTTCTCCTCAGATATTTATATGGCTTGTTCTCTCAATCACCTCCTTTGAGTCCTTCTCAAATATCATCTTCTCCATGAGTCCTGCCTTGACCATATTATTGAAAAAATGTAACTTCCCTCCTGTCCTATCATCTCATTGTCTGTCTGTTCATACCAAAATATCTTTCCATAATAGCTCCATAAACACAGGAAGTTTTGTGTTATGTTCACAGATATTCCGAATGCCTAAAAAAGTGCCTGACACAGAGTAGATGCGCAATACATATATGTTAAGTGAATTTAACAAACGAGCATATATGCCTGAATGTATGCTCCAAGAGAAGAGTAGTATTGTTTTGTTCACTTGCTATGCCCCAGCGCCTAGCACAGGACATACACATACCAGGGCTTAATACTTGATCGACTGACTAAATAACCACCAGAGCGACTCAAGTGACAATTATCTTTCGGAGAGCAGAGACCTCATCCCTCCCCTGAACCCCGGTCCACCCACCCCCCCTTCACCTGTGAGGAGACGCCCAGGTGCTGGAAGCTGTAGTCAAACAGCAGCTCCTGCAGCTCCAGGTTGACCGGCACGTTGCGGTCGAAGGGCGAGCGCAGCATCCAGCGCAGCGGCTCCAGGCTGCCCAGCGCGTTGCCTACCTGCGGGCCCGCCCCGCCCCGCGCCCCTCCACGCCCGCGGGCGCACACCGCGCGGAACTGCAGACGCGGCTCGGGGCCTGGGTCCGGCCCTGGACACGCCCAGCCGGCGCGGGCCTGGAACGACCCGTTGTCCAGCACCAGCGGCACGGGCAGTGGCCCATGGGCCACCGGACCGGCCTCCAGCACCGGATCTGGCGCGGCACGCGCGTCGCGAAAGGGGAACACGTTGGCTGCCATCTTGGAGCGCGCGCCCGGCCCCGCCCCTCGCCGCAGCGCCCGCTCGGACGTCACGAAGCCCCGCCCTTCGTGACGTAAGCCGCGCCGCTCAGTCCCTGTAGCGTCTGGAAGTCTTCTCTCGCGAAGCCCGTCCAGCCGAGAGACTCTCCCCGGTGGTCCGGCCGCAGTCTGGACCGCTAGGCCCCGCCCATTCTGACTGCGAAATCCTGCCCGTACTTAACCTCGCCTCCAGCAGCCTATAAGTGACCACGCCTCTTCACTCTAGCTGGGACTGCCGGCCAGGAAGCCCCGCCCTCAAAGCCAATCGCTGCAGGCCCCGCCCCTTCCTGGCTTCTGGACTGGGCCCAAAGCTCGGCGGGGCCCCGCCTCTTCGCCCAACCACGCCCCCTACCTGCCGGGTGACGCACCTTTGATCGCTTGTCGCCCCGCCTCCACGTGCTTACCTCGGCCTTAGCCTGGCCATCGAGCTGAGTGAACCGCCTTTTTTTCACTCCTCCCTCAGGCTGTCAAGGACACTCAGCTCTAGGGCACTGACAGTGTTCAGTCTCTTGACCCGGGAACTTTCTACGCAGGTGTGTTCACTTTTCTGTATGTATGCTATATTTTATAATACGATGTGAAGTTAAAAATACTTTTATTAACTCCCACAGACTGCCCTCTCAGTGAGACCTAAAACACAGAGACGACTGTTAATTGTTCCCAATATGTGTAATCTCCCTTTCTTCCTTTTAATGTGTTCATCTAGCCAGATGTGATCATGTGACTAAGTTCTGGCCGATGGGGGAAGAAATGCAGGTGATGTGCCCCACCCCAGTTTTAGCTCTAACAGCACTGGGCCCCGCGTTTCTCCCTGTCCCATTTCCCTCTTTCCACGGGCTAAGGGGATAATAAGAATTAGAGCAGTTACCTTGAATCTAAACTTACCGGCTCAGGAACACTTAAGTTTGAGAGAGAAAATCAATTATAAAAGGTGGCTTTGAATAGACATATTTTATAAGAGATGAGACCCCAACCCTTTTTTTTTTTTTTTTTTTTTTTTTTTTTTTGTCCTTTGTGAGACCGGCCGCACCGCGCTCAGCCAGTGAGCGCTGTGAGCTCACCGATCATCCCTATATAGGATCCAAACCCGCGGCGGGAGCGCTGCTGTGCTCCCAGCGCCGCACTCTCCTGAGTGTGCCACGGGCTCGGCCCCCCAACCCTTTCTTAAGAACCTTTATTAACACTTCTAGGCCAGATTGGGAGCCAGCATGATGGCAAAAATCAGACTGAGTAAATGTGAGTAATGCCTTCCAGCACAAGCCCACGGTTTCATCTGAAGGTAGCTATCATTAAGTTGAGAAGGAGGGAACTAGCAGAACACAGAGACCAGTAAATATAAGTGAATGTAAGTTTAAGAACCACGCCTACATATACTAATATGAAAAAATCTCCAAGATATATTTTTAAAAGAAATAAAGACATTGCAGTGTATAATGAACTCCCTTTTAGAAAGAAACATACCATACCCTCCACCTGCCAAAAAAAAGTGGGGGGGAGGGGGGAGGAAGACAAATCTATGTTTGTTTTTGCTTGTATTATCATGCAGATAAACAGTCTAATAAAAGGGTTTACTTGCAAGGGAGGGGACAAGGTGGGTGGGTCAAGTGTAGGAGACATTTTTACTGCAGATTTTTTTATATACTTTTGGTTTTTGAATGATGTGAATATATTATCTTTTCAGGGGAAAAAAAAAAAAAGCACTGGGTATGGCTGAAGTAGATTGGATTATTACTCCCAGTTCTTTACTCCTCTGTAATGGGATTATACATCCATACCATTTGCCAAGTAACTTTTTAGGGCCTCTCATAGTAGACATTGATATTGGGCTTGGCCATGAGACATACTTTGGCCAATGGACTGTTACCTGAATGTGATTTGAGCAGAGGCTTTAAATGTGCTTGTGTGGTTTAGACTGCCTTCTTGCACTCCTCCTATTAATCATGAGAAGAACATACCATAATCTAAAGAAGATAAGAGACACATGGAGCAGATCTGAACCCAGACTGCTGTCTAGAGCCAAGTCCATTCAACCTGCAACCTAAGGCTGAACTACCCCATGAACCCCTAGACAAGAAAAATGTTTGTTCTTATAAACCACTGAAATTCTGGGATTGCTATGCAGCAAAATTGCAGGAGGAAACTGACTAATATGCTAGACCAATGCTGTCCAATAGAACTTTGTACATTGAAAATGTACAAATTGATGGAAATGGTTTATAAGCTGTGATGTCTAACATGGTAGCCACTAACCACATGTGGCCATTGAGCACTTGAAATGTAAGGCAACCAGAAACTGAATTTTTGATTTTATTTAATTTTAACTAGTTTACATTTAAATCTAAGTAGTCATGTGACTAGTGGTTACTCTATAGGGTAGCACTGAGTAAGATCTATAGCTGTGATTATTTGCCCATGGAATTGACTAGAAAAAAATACATCAGAAAGCTACTGTATTAGTTTTCCAGCTGCTGTAACAACATACCACAAACTGGGATGACTTAAAACAACAAGATTTCTTTTCTCACAGTTCAGGAGGTTAGAAGTCCAACATCAGGGTGTCAGCAGAGCCATGCTTTCTCTGAAGTCTCTAGGGAAGAATCTGTTCCATGCCTTTTTCTTAGCTTTTGGTGTTGCCAGCTATGATGGTTAATCTTATGTGTCAACTTGACTGGGCCACAGGTGCCCATATATTTGGTCAAACATTATTCTGGGTGTTTTCTCTGAGGGTGTTTTTAGATAAGGTTAACATTTAAATCAGTAGATTGAGTAAAGCAGACTGTCCTCCATAATGTGGGTGGGCCTCATTGAATCAATTGAAGTCCTGACTACAACAAAAAGGCTGACCCTCCCCCGAATAAAGGAGAATTCTTCCTGTGTGACTACCTTTGGACTGGGACATCAGCTTTTTTCCTTCTTTGGACTTGAAGGAAAGATTGGCTCTTCCTCGGTCTCAAGCCCACTGGCCTTCAGATGGGAACTATATCATCAGCTGTTCTGGTTCTCAGTCCTCCAGACTCAGACTAGAACTGAACCATTGGCTCTCTGGGGCCCCCTACTTGCCAACTCACCCTGCAGATCTTGGGACTTGTCTGCCTCCATAGTCACATGAGCCAGTTCCTTATAATAAATATGTGTGTGTGTGTGTGTGTGTGTGTGTGTGTGTGTGTGTGTGTGTGTGTGTATATACACACATATATATTATTGGCTCTCTTTCTCTGGAGAAACCTGACTAATACACCAGCAATCCAAATAAGAACACATTCACAGGTACCAGGGCTTAGGACTTCAACATATCTTTTTGAGAGACCCAATAAGTTTTAAGAGAATTGTATTGCCAAGAAACCACAAGCCTGGACTGCCAAAGCCTGTACATATTTGATACCTGACATAACCCTACGATCCTAAGCCTGCACCAGCAGGAAGTCAGGTGTGAAAGCTGTGCAGCCCCAAGGAGGGTCTCTCTCCAAGATACTCAGGAGATAATGGATAAGGAAGAACTTCTCAGAAGGCAAAGCCAAAAGTCATTGAGAACAATGGACGAGGTGTTTCCCAGAAGGGAGAAGCAGAGAGGTCTAACAAAGAACTTACTCCACTACCAGGGCAGAGAACCCGTATGTTCCTGCCCAGCAGGATCTGATCATTATTATAGTAATTGCTGTGTGGGGAGCTTTAAAAAGTGCTGATGCCTGAGTCCCACCCCCATCAATTCTGATTTGATTTGTATGGGGCTGGTGGGTGTAGTTTTATCTCCTTGGGTAGTTCTAGTAGAAAGCAAAGTTTGGAACCAGCACCCTGAGGCCTTGAATTTCCAGGTGTGGTTCTCAACCCAGCAGCCTCAGCATCATCTGGAAAATTGTTAGAAATACAGACCCTCCAGCCCCACTCCAGACTTAGTGAATCAGAACCCTCATTAAATACACCTTCTGTTTTGCTTAAGTCAGTGTCATGTTGGTCCCTATCCTAAGTAACACACACATACACACACACACACTTAGATGATTAGATGATATATATGGGTCTTGCTCCTGAGTCTGCATGGCAGGCCCAGACTATGGAGACATGAGAAAACTGTTCAGAGGAAATCATGTGCCATCCATTCTGCCTGCAGCTTGGCAGAGACATGTGATGGAAACAGGTATTAAACTGGGCTGTTGAGCTGTGATTCATGATGTCTGACTAAGGCCTTGTTCTGGGCTCGGCTTAGGGTTCCCTGGACAACTGCCTGGGAAAGGAAAGGGATATCCACGCAACTGAGGATACAGGTGGCATACTAGGACTGGGGACAGGGAACTTAGTATAAGGTCTTCAACTTTATCCCAAATTCTTCTAACCCTCTAGTGGGATCAGCAGACATAGGGCATGCTGTGGCCTTTTAGTAGCCTGTCCTTTTGCACATATTGTTGACACAGCCTGAGATGCTCTGTGCTATATTATCTGCCTCTAGAGTACTCATTCTTTAAAGCCCAGTTCAAATCTGACCTTGGTATTTCTCCGCCAGGGAAATATCCATAGGCAGGACAGGTGATGAGAGCTTTGGTTGGTGAGAAAGTGTTAGGTAAGTTAGTGTTATGTTCTCCTCTCAGGCCTCAGGATAAGTGGAAGGAGCTGGGAAAGGGGAAAAATCCCAATAAAGGTTTTTTTTTTTTTTTTAAAGTTAAAAACCTGCAAGAATAGGAGAACAGGAAAGAGAAAATTTCAGAAATTGGAAAGCATACATACGACTGGTATCTAGATTAGCAAATCCAGAAAAACTGATTTCTAAGCTGCTCTGAGAACCAACCTACTTGTATTTTACACCGTACAATCTTCAAAATCCTCAGGAATTAGTAGCACAAGTTTCTTCTAAAAGAGTTAAAGTGGAGTGGCTAAAATGAAGAGAATTGGTTTTAAAGTGTTTTAAGAAGGAGCCTGTCCCTAGATTCCCTCCAGAACTCCCAGAGAAGACTGGAGGTTTATTCTCTGAAG